GACATCGACGCGCTTGGAGTATCGACGAAAAATCGAACAAAGCCCGACGACGAACGCGCCGCGGCTATAGTAACGAAGACAATGCGCCGCACGAATAAAAGATACGAGGTGGGGTTACCATGGCGTACGGACGACGTGACGATGCCGCCCAGCTATGACAACGCTCTGAAACGACTGAAAGGCATAGAGAGAAAAATGGATCGCGACCCGTCCTTCGCCGCGGCTTACAGAGCGCAAGTCGAAAACCTCTTCGAAAAAGGATACGCGGAGCAATGCGACGGCACCGAACAAGCGAGCCCGAAGAGCTGGTACCTACCGCATTTTGCGGTAAAGAATCCCAACAAGCCTGGCAAGCTACGCCTCGTCTTCGACGCAGCCGCCGTTACGAACGATGCCAGCCTTAATCAAGAACTACTAGAGGGTCCAGACCTATTAACGTCGCTGCAAGGAATAGTCTTCCGATTCCGAGAAAAACCGATCGCCGTAACCGCCGACATTCAAGAGATGTTCTTGCAGATTAAAATCAGAAAAGAGGATCAGCCCGCTCAAATGTTTCTGTGGCGAGGAACGGAACGAACAAAACCGCCCCAGAAATACAAGATGACGTCATTGATTTTCGGCGCGGCAAGCTCGCCTTTCATCGCACATAGCGTAAGAAACGCTAACGCCGAAGCCTACGCCGACTCGCATCCGGAAGCACTACAACCAATAACACGTAGTCACTACATGGACGATTACGTGGACAGCTACGACACCGAAGAAGAGGCCACCAGAATTCTAAACAGCGTGGCGCACGTCCATCGGCAAGCGGGATTCGTGCTGCGAAGTTGGAACTCAAACAGCGCAGCCGTCTTAGCAACCATACCCACCGAACTACACGCCCAGTCACCGACCCGACTCGGCGCGAACGTCAATCACTTCGAGAAGACACTGGGACTCCTATGGAACGCCGCCGAAGACAACTTGACATTTAACACCACCATGGCACGGGTACCCGTGGAGGTGAAAGAAGAAAGAAGATCGCCGACGAAAAGAGAGGCTCTGTCGGCTGTCATGTCCGTGTACGATCCACTCGGACTAGTGAGCCCATATACAATCGCCGCGAAAATATTCTTCCAAGATCTATGGCGAAGGAAAATTGGGTGGGATGAGCCGCTACCACAAGAAGACGCCGATAAATTCCACACATGGCTACGGGGCTTACATCGCATGGGAGAGATAGCAATCACACGCTGCTATACAACGGCAACGAAATATCGACGACGGGAACTACACGTGTTCTGCGACGCCAGCGAGAGCGCCTACGCCACGGTCGCTTACTGGAGGATCGAGGACGAACACGGAGAGGCTCACGTAGCATTAGTGAGCGGAAGAGCAAAGGTAGCGCCTCTCAAAGCGCAGAGTATTCCGCGATTAGAACTACAAGCAGCGGTTATCGGTACAAGATTGGCGGATACGATAAAAACCGAACACCGATGGGCAATCGACGAAACGGTGTTTTGGACGGATTCAACAACTGTACTCGCGTGGATCAACAACGACGCACGCCGCTACACCGCCTTCGTGTCACACCGACTGGGTGAAATCGCCGAACGAACGGAGCCGAATCAATGGCGATGGATATCCACCGAATTAAACGTGGCCGACGACGCAACTCGAACGAAGTACGCCGACGTCGTCCCCGCGAGATGGCTATCCGGACCGGAGTTCCTGCTGCGCGACAGGGAGGAATGGCCTACACGAAGCAACGAAGAGGGACCCATCTCCGAAGAAATAGTGGCCCACACGACCGTCTCTTCTACGAACGAAAATGAAGCGATGCCGAATATAGAACGAATCGGCAAATACGAATGCCTCATCCGCGCCACGGCCTTAGTACTATTGGCTATCGAAAAATGGCATCAAAAGGGCAGCCAGTTGGAACTACGCCACATGACACGAGCTGAAGATATGTGGCTACGACGGGCGCAACGAGAGTCCTTCGGCGACGAAATACGACTGCTTCAACAAGGAAAGAAGATACCACAGTCAAGCCGCCTATACAAGTTAGACCCCGAGCTGATGAAAGGAGTACTGCGTGCACGAGGAAGAATAAACGCCGCGACAGTACCAGAAGAAATGAAGAAGCCGATCATATTGGACGGAAAGCACCCGTTCACACGGAAGATCATCGTGAGAGAACACGAAGCGGCGGGTCACGCAAACAGAGAGCGTGTCATCAACGAATTACGACAACGCTACTGGATATTGCGCCTACGTCCGTCGGTTCGCACCGCCACCCGCGCATGCGTGATGTGCAGAGTTAGAAGATCGAAGCCAACAACGCCATCTACAGGGGACTTACCGCGCGAACGACTCAGCCCGCACCTCAGGCCCTTCACGTGCTGTGGCCTCGATTACTACGGGCCAATGACCGTCACCGTAGGACGACGCCACGAGAAGCGCTGGGGCGCATTGTTTACTTGCCTAACCACCCGAGCGATACATCTAGAAGTTGTGGCAAGCCTCAGCACAGACTCGGCGATAATGGCGATAAGAAGAATGGCAGCGCGGCGTGGATGGCCGAAAACTATAATGAGCGATAACGCAACGAACTTCAAAGGCGCCGACAAGGAACTACAAGCGGCCATACGAGAATGGGCCCCCAGACTACAAGATTACCTGCTGCAACGGCGCGTCGAATGGAAGTTCATCCCCCCTGGCGCACCCAACCAGGGGGGAGCATGGGAGCGACTAGTGCGGTCCGTCAAGACAGCTCTAGCCACAACGCTGCACGAGAGGGCACCGAAAGAAGAGGTGCTCCATACGCTGATGACCGAAGCCGAACACGCGGTGAACTCACGACCGTTGACCCACGTATCGGTCAGCCCGGCCGACGCCGAAGCCCTCACACCGAATCACTTCCTCCTAGGAAGATCATCGGGTCTACCACTCACCGGCCCCTGTCGACCCTGCGACAGGCGCCAATGGCGGGCCACCCAAGCGCTCGCCGACAGTTTCTGGCAGCGCTGGATGAAGGAATATCTTCCGACGCTGGTACCGAGGGGCGAAACAAGAAAAGAAGCCGCACTTCGAGTAGGCGATCTCGTCATCATCGCCGACCCGAACTCACCGCGCAACATCTGGCCCCGGGGAGTAATCGAACGCATCTTCCCCGGGCCCGACGGCGAGATCCGAAGCGCCGACGTACGCACCAGAGGTGGGCTGTTTCGGCGACCAACGAGGAAGCTCATCGTGCTGACCACCGAGACACTGGACACATTATCCGCACCTCCCCCGGACCAGCGGAGAGGGACGCGCTGCGATCCTGAGCCTGGCGAGCCGTCCGATCCGGCGAAAGGGGCTCCGAGCATCTCTTCGAGCGTCTCTTCGCCGTACGGACGGCGGACATGAAGACCCTTCCCCGCGACCTCACCCCCGCAACGAGTAGAGGGGGCACACCACGGGCAGCAGCGACGGGAGCACCCCCCCGCGACCTCCCCGCCGCATAGTGGAAGGGGCACCGACATAACATGAATCTATTAGGTCAATTAACGCGTTAGGATAGTAGCTAAGTGCGAACGAACAAATCCCACTTAAGTAAACCCGATTTGTATGAAAGCATGCCTACGAACGTTTTCGTACTTTGTACTGCAAATAAGAAGAAAGAATAAACGCCTTCAAATCTCCAAACTGTTGTTTCCATCCCCAACAAACAGTATACTGGACTGCGTTCCGTTTTAAAAAGTCACCAGTATAACTAGCTATAAAGGAACGGGCTTCCAGTATACTAAATTTACGTCATACTGTTCAGTGGTCGCAGTGTATATCGGAACATACCCGATATTTTATGTATCTTTCTATCACTACTTTGACATGGCAGTTGATGACGTCACAGGCCAGTAAACAGAATCGTGATTGGTTGTCACGACGACCAATTATAGGACGTTTTCGTCGTTGAATAAATTCCTAAAAATATTGCATTTTCTTTACGTTATTTTACTAAATCTAAACATGTTTTTTTCTGCTATTATCTATCAGGATGACCACAAAATAAAACTTATTTTCGATAGTGTCAAATACCCTATTCAAAAAAACACTATAAAGCATAATAAATTGATACAAGAAAAGACAAAACCAATTTAGATACTTGGTTTTATTATGCTTTAAAACAGAGCAAATTATTTAACATAAGAAAGTATGACAATATCAATTTATAATTCAAGGAGTTAACATCACTATTGAAATTTAAAAAAATCCGAATTTTAATAGATGGAGGATCTCATATACCACCGGCTTGGGCCAAAGTAATTAGTCAAATAAATTCTCAGTCCAGATCACACATTGCAAAACCAAGATACAGTTCATTCTGTAACTATTAAATCAAAGGGCAATTCACTTTTCTCGTCGGAGTTTAGTTCGTCAGTTCTTCTCAGACAATACTCCCAAATCTGTAACTGTTGGTAGATTACAGTATCCAGGGATAAATAAGTAAGTCAAATGTATTTTGAAAATAATTTAATTTAATGTTTCCATAAAATATAATTTATATCGTATTGTGAATGTGTCCAAAAGTATTGTTTTGAAGGTAGCTATACTACACTTTAGTCCAAGTATCTCTTTTAAATTATAGTAATACATTTCGTGGCATAAGTGAAGTGAGTTTCAAAATATAGGAATAGAATATCTGAGACACGTATAATCAACCAATTATGTTTTGTTTTTATACAAAAATAAACAGAATCGATAGAATTTCTTCACCAAAAAACGTGAATTCGAACATACGAGTGAATTCGAATTCGTGTTCGGATTTTTACAGAATAACTCTGCTGTAAACGCGATAAAACCGTTTCAGTTATTAATAAACCAAATTCGTTTCAATTTGCATATGTTTATTAAATTTGATCAATTTTGCATTCACAATGCTATAGTGAAATTTGCAAAATATGTTTATTTCTCGTTACAAATAAAAGCTTTAGTTATATAATATATGACTAATCATATAATGATACTGTGGAGTCTCGACAGTTATTCAAAGGAAATTCACATTACTGCCTTCTGCTAGCTTCTTTCTGAAGTCTGGTGATGTGTACTGCTCATATGTACAACATAAATATATGTATATTACTGGACTGATCTCAAAAGAAATATATTATTTGTTTCTTCTTGGGTATTAAATAAATTGTCAATTTTCTCTTCTATATTCTTATTAATACACAACTGACAGTTAATTTTCCTTGGATCACTTAATTGATTAGAAATTGGGAGGAATTCTTGGTTACTGAAAACATTAGGCATTATTAATCAAAATGTATGCATCTTAACGTTGCCCTATGGACCAAAACCATCCGCAATGTATAGAGAATCAGATAATAACATGTTTATGGTAACAATTTAATAAATTACAACATTCATAATTTATAAAATTGATACCAATATAGTTTTATATAAGAATAGTCTTTATAATATTAACAATTAACTTAATAATCAAGTCAAGAATTACATATACTTATATAAAAAGTTTTTAATTGTTATTATTATAAAGGGTTTAGCCGGATACGTATGACGAGTCGGCCCCCAAATGGGAATCGATATTGAAACTTATGTTTTAATATCGACTTGATGTTCAAACACGATTTATGTACTTTTCGCGACCGACTTCCGCTTTGACCTTGAGATAGAGAGCAAAATATCCGTATGCTTGACTATTACTGAATGTGATATATCTCTAAAGCTAATTAAGATAAAGAAGTGAAACTAACGCGAGGTGTTAGGTTACATTACAGAGTATATCACATATATTTTTTTATAATTTTTAGAATAAAAAATTACATAAAAAAAAATAAAAATAAAAAAATCATGTTTTTTTTCTGAGTTCTCTGTGACTTACAATCACGAAATTAATATATGTTATGCTCCTTTGTGTGCTCTATTACCCATAAAAATTGCGTGAAAAAAAAGTTGGTGCAACACAACGAAAAAAAATTATATGTGATTTCTGTCTTATGGTATGACCCCTGTATTATAAGGTTTTCACATTACATCATTGTTTTTTTTTTCGAAATTTCACATCAGCTTGTTTTAAAACATAAGTAACTAGTCTTAAGAGATGGTATAATAGTTAAAAAAGAAATGAAAAAAAAAAAACAGCCAGTGTTCAATACTTATTATTATTACTTTTTCGTGTCTATCAAAATAAAAGAAACAAAATATTAATCATCGTCATTGTTGTAATCATAGAATTAATAAGTACTACGTACAACTAGAATGCTTACTGTGCGTCTAAACATGCGCCGAGTGAGAGGTCATAAATCTTGGTTTGTCCCTTTCTAAGTAGTGTAACCATTCTTACCTGAATACATTGGACATTAAAAGAAAATATTGATTATTGAAATTGAATAATATTAATATGAAGCAGAAAAAAATCTTATTTAATCTCAACTCAACAATAATAAATTTTGAAACTATGGAAATCAGCAATTTCATAGGCAGACCTCCCCCCTCCCCACTGGGGGAAGACCTAATAATAAAACGCAATCAAAATAGTATATTTTATTATGACTGTATTGTTTACATTTTAAAATTAAACATTACTTAACAAATTGTTTTGTGCAATTAATGGCGTAAAGTAGCGCGAGATGTGCCAATGGCCTTGAATGTGAGACCTTTGCCATAAGTTGACATTCTTATTATGAGAATCTCATGCCTTTGTTGGATTTATTTTTGTTCAATTGCTGATGAATATTTGGGAAACAGTTTGTTATGACAGATTGTACCTTTTCATAATTATTACAATTTTCTTTTAAAACTGCTAAAAATGACTTTAAATTATTAATCTTCTTCTTCATGTCTCTTCTTTTGATTTTTGCCTAGTATTAATATCAAGTTTTAACTTCTTACATGAAGGACTTTAGTCAGGCGTATAACTAAAGGCGTTTAACACATTATTTTTTTTGTTATCAGGAAAAATCTGTAATGAAATTAGGTGGGTACATAAAAATAAGTTATAATATGAATTGTTGTTTTAACTTATTATTTTCTATATAATGTTGTTTATAAATGAGTGCTTTAATATTAGGTAGGTACCTTTGGCAAGATTGAAGGAATCACTTCTGATTTCAGCCTTTTTACAGCCTCTGTTCGGTAATCTTTGGGTTTGAAATGAAGTGTACAAACCACACAGCTTTCATGTAAGTTCCCAGGTATCAACCATTTTTTCTTTAACTCTAAATCGGTTGGTAAACTGGAAATTAAAATTAAAATGTATATTTTTTATTATAGTAATAATTTGGTTTGGTTTGGTGTGTAAATAGATATTTGCAAAAGATCGATCAAACGATAAGCCTACTGACCAATAAAATTATTAAAGGATATCCATTTATGAGCCTCCACATGCTTGCTCAATGTAGGTAGACTTGCAAATAGTGAATAACCAAAGTGTTAAGTGATACAACAAGTTTAAATTTAGTACTTAATTAGGCAAAAATAGGGTCTATGCTTATAGTACGTACGTACTTTACATCTCTATACGTAAAGTATAGTCACCCTAGTTTCTACTGATGACATACTTACCTGTGAAAAGATAATCCACAGCCAGGTACGATTCTTTCCCATACCCACTCACAGCACATATATTGTTTACCATTTTTCAATCCAATATACTATTTAAAGTACTTTTTTAATTCAGAGAGCATTAAAAACAAGTCCATATGACAAAAAAGAAAACGTCATGTTGCTTTTGTGTTGCCACGTGAATACTTCAATTTACCTACCCAAGTAGCACAGAAGGAATTATAATTATCCATACGTGGACCTCATTATGGCAATAGGCATTAAAAAAGATTTATAGAGGTTTCCCCAGCATCCTAAAGCCGTAAAATTGAATTCATTTTAACTTCGTATGCTAAAGGCTGCGTAAAAGCTGAAAAATGGAGAAAACAAATGCCTTTTTAATGCATTTAGTGTAATTCTGTCTGATTGTAATGCCATTTTACTGCTTAAAGCATACTTTTATACCTAAGGTAACGTAAAAGAATTGTAAGAGTAGGCGCAAAATGCCAATGGTTCTATAACAGACACTCGTCATACCATTTTGATGCTAAATTTTAAAAGATGTAAGAATAACCATTTTAATGCTTAAAGTCGAATAAAGTCAGTGTATGGGACAGTAATGGATCAATTTTAATGCTGTTATTCTGCTTTAGGCTACTTTAAATTCCTTGAGTTCTATAAAAGAACTTAAAGAGAGGTAGAAAATGGCAAAGGTTCTGTAGAATGGATGGGTTACACCATTTTGATTCTGGCATTTTAAATAGGTGACTGTCATTCTTTTATAATTCTTAAGGCAATAAAAGAAGGCAATTTAGAGCGTCCTGAAGAGTAAAAGAATTTTAATAGAATTAATACGCCGTCGTATGCGTGTGTGGTTGAAAACAACAAAATGCTATCGTCTACGAAAAAAAAGGTAAAATCGTGGAAAACGAAAGCTAGGACTGGAAAAGAAAAAAAGGAATTTTAAAGGTTCATTTCATAGCCAAAAGAATTGTAATGGAACTATAACGTACTACAATTCTGCTTAAATACTCCGCCATTAAATCGTTCAAACCTAACCTAACACGATATTTCATGTAAATATTATCAGCCTTACTTATAAAAATTCATTAAACTATGGTTATTCAATCGTTATACCAAGAATAGTTATACTCGGTATATGCTCATAATAACGGAAGAATATCTTTTGACTTATAAACTTGGTATATCTTCGGCGTAAGTATTCCACCCTTATGTTCGATGCACGTAGCGGCAACGCCGCATTTTATAGACAAAAACGAAAAAAAGAAAGTATTTTGTCTGTTGAAGTGTCAAATATCACTGAGTTTAACGCAAGTTTAACGTTTGGTTGATAGATGTTACATGTGGTTATTCCTTGAACAAGACGCGGGTGATTTTGTGCAAGTTATTGTAAATTATTTATTCAATTATAAACTAATATAAATAATTTGAATTTGAATTTAATATCAAAATCGCAAGTAAAAGTAGTATCTCAGCGTTATCAGTATCTGCAATATAGCTCACTGCCAAATAAACGTTCTAACAATAAGACGCCGTCTTTGGAAAAACGATATTTTATACGAAATTCGTCGTCATTGTATAAAAGGAAGGGATCGTTTCTAGTTCTAAATATTTTAGATTTTCTTCTTGTCCTAAACATTTGCGATCGATTGATCAAATTATTAATTTCTTCCACTTTTTGTATTGTCTAAACGCCATATTTCAATAAACACACGTTTCAATATTATTAAAAATTATCTAATACGGTAAATATTTGGCATATCAACAATATCAAAATGTCATTTGACAAATCCGTTGCTACACCAAAGTTATACTAGGGTGACGGGCGGAATATCGGTGGAATAAGTTTTGTTAGAACGTTACATCCAGGTTATGCTAAGCATAAGTTACACCGAGTTTATAAGTTGACATTTTGCGTATTCTGCACTAATTCTCGGTATAACATTTTATACCACGTTTATAAGTAGCGCTGTTATAAGTAAACTATAGATGTAAGCTATTACTTATTGCTCAATTTACAATTCTAAAATATATATAAGTCTCCTAAATATAAAACTGTGGACATAACAACCAAAAACATAAATATTTAATTTTTCATAGGCACTTTTTCTATATAATATTTAACTAAATACTCATCATATTCGAGGCGCATAAAAAAATTCAATAGAAATGTATATGGACATTAACAGTAAACTTGCCTCCGCAAGACTATTTCACGTATTAACCATCTAACACCCAATACAATATTAACAAATTTAATAATACTTACAGTTAATGGCGTCGCACCTCTGTTTTATCACAGTCACTGCTGCTGCACATCACACAAATGTTTTGAATGTAAAAAAAAATACGAACTTTATAAAATACACCGCATATACGACACTATTGCGCTTTAAGAATTGTAATGGGTAGAAGTTGGACTTTTTTAGGGGCTAAAGAATGCTAAAATTCCATTACGGTGCCTTTTTAGTACTACTATACGGCTATAATCGTCACTGTGTACCTTATTGATTCCATTACAATGCTATTTTAATGCCTTTTGGCACCCGCGTAAGCCTAAGGCACTAAGATTTGTGCCCAAATCAGCATTGTAATGGAATTTTAAGTGCTTAAAATTCTTTTTTATGGCAAGTTTATGCTGCTTAAAGCATCTGAAATGCCATTATTCACCCTTTATTCAGCTTTTTGTGCTACTTGGGTAGTGTTGCATAACGTAAAGGTAATAAAACATGCCTACAATATTGAAATGTCGTGAAATATAAAAACTTTGATTTATCTCGACCTAAAAGCTATTGCATTTATATTATTAGTAAATTTATAAACAAGCCAAATATAATATTCATATAGAAAACGTTTTGTTCTGTGTAAACAGTTTTCACGAATTTACCACCTTTATATCAACAATATTTCACATGGCAATTGTGCGACAGAGACACACCAAGAAAAAAGAAGTCTCACTTGAGCTCATTTCTCTATGTAGATAATGGTTATTTAAAAAACACTTTATTCCCTTATCATTAAGGTTCATTTTGATATGTCAAAAAGATCGCAGTTAGCATTCCAGTTGTACGTAGTACTTATTAATTCTATGGTTGTAATTAATTACAATCGGAACACTTTGAGTCGCAAATAACTTAGTTAGGACCTAAGCAGGACGTACGATTTTGGACAAATATCATCCATATGATAGATAATAAATAATAGCTGCTACATGAGAACAGCATCCCACTGTACGTTTGCCATTGGGGCAATCACAGCAATAACGAAGAATACTATTGTAGTCATTACCTTCGGAAATATAGTGAATGTAAATTCGATAAACTTTTATATTTATATGTCTTGATTTTACTTCTGCTTTGATGATATTAGGTGCTGATTTCACATATTGTACTGAGAGATTATTTTGATCGTCCATTATTTCGGCCAAGTTAGATGCTGCACATTTAGAAGTAGAAGCTTTTTTGTTAATATATGGGATAAGTCGACACTTCTTACAAAAAATATCATTAACTATTACGATTTTATTCAAACAGTCACTAAACACTTTAGCTTCTTCATTCTTTATAATTTTTTTTATAACCAGGAATCTTACACAGGTACTTGTTACAATTTTTACACTTTCTCGACATTATTACTTAATAATGATTTGGTTCGATAGTTAATAATTTCAAAATGCTGATACAAAATACCTATGACAGAATTTGAGTCCCAAACTGCCTTCTTGTGTAATACAAATGACTGCTACTTTAGCTAAACAAACGATGCAGTAAACAGCTCGATAACAAGTTCGAACTTGTTTGTTTATACACTCACACTACAAGGCGCGAATCACATATAATTTTTTTTCGTTGTGTTGCACCAACTTTTTTTTCACGCAATTTTTATGGGTGATAGAGCACACAAAGGAGCATAACATATATTAATTTCGTGATTGTAAGTCACAGAGAACTCAGAAAAAAAAACATGTTTTTTTTATTTTTTTAATGTAATTTTTTATTCTAAAAATTATAAAAAAATATATGTGATATACTCTGTAATGTAACCTAACACCTCGCGTTAGTTTCACTTCTTTATCTTAATTAGCTTCAGAGATATATCACATTCAGTAATAGTCAAGCATACGGATATTTTGCTCTCTATCTCAAGGTCAAAGCGGAAGTCGGTCGCGAAAAGTACATAAATCGTGTTTGAACATCAAGTCTATATTAAAACATAAGTTTCAATATCGATTCCCATTTGGGGGCCGACTCGTCATACGTATCCGGCTTAACCCTTTGATATCTTATAAATTATATTAAAAGTAATTTCAAAAACTTGCTTAAAAATCTAAAGTATTTTTAAGATATAAAGTTTTCAGGGTTCCATACTTAAAGAGTAAAACAGGATTCTTTACTAACAACAAGACTATGCTGTCCGTTTGTCTGTCACCAGGATGTAATCTCTTGAACTGTGATAGTTGCACAGTTGTATATTTTGCATAGATAACTAGCTAATTATTATCACTATAACAACACATACTAAAACTGAATAAAATAAATATTTAAACACTATATTAACAGTATTGTGGATTTGTGACCTTGAACAAGTTGTTGAGAACACAGGATGCTTCAAATTCCTAATCCCACAGAGTGCAAATTTGTAATAGGGCTCTTAAGATATAGTATATTTATTTCATCTAGGTTAATCTTTATGCCCTAGATGTGGTGTATCATAATCTATGGATTATCTAGAGGGCATTTTTCTAGATTATCAGCATTTGCATATCTGACAAATCAAATTTTGGTGTCAGCTATAGTCATCAAAGATCACTCACTCTCTGTCTCTGTGGTCTTTTTAAAAAGGTGTTAATGTGTTGGTTTTTGATAAATTATATTATAAATGTTTCCAAATTTAAATTCAGAGTTATCTTCTTTAAAATTGAAACTTTTTAATGATACTGATATTTACCCATATATAGCTTCACGTATTCCTAAATGTATTCCAAAATCAAGGCCTTGAATATATCCAATATTGAAACTAGATTGAAATATAGCAGTTTGTCCATCAGAAGCACCATCTTTAAAACCTGCCTGTAATTTGATAAAATTAATAATTTCATTATCTAAGCGTGCTTGTGGCACTAAAATTTTAACAGAAAAGAACAATTGAATGAAATGTGTTGACATCTCTGCGTCTGTGCATTAAAATAAGTTAAATAAAATATACCTTTTAAGTTTTACTATTAGTTTGAGATTTGAATATTAAAAAGAAACATTAAAACTTATCTCACTATTTTATGATAGAAAGTCAATTATGATACTGCTTTATCATAGAGTACTTCTAAGCATAACAACTACTCACACATTCCATACCACATTTATAGTCTACTGCTGACTATATTTATCATTCAAAATGAGCCGACTACATTGTAGTGGTGTGTACAAAACAGTCATTTTGTTATTCATTTACAAAAATGGCTGGAGACATGGGATCCACTAGGCTAGGAAGTCACAGTCAGTGTTTGCGATCCGTAGATTACGTAGGATGCAGTTAAAGTATATCACTCTTTGAATACAGTATGCATTAAAATTGGTCACCGTGTATCCAGTCAGCCGCTTACGCATAGCGAAAGAGTAACTGTGATTAAGTACTCAAATGGACTAATTTTTTTTTTGTAAATGAATATCATTACCTAATAAATGTATGCTAAAAGTCCTAATAGTAAAATTAATTACATATAGGTACATGTCTAACCTTATTGACAGATTCAATTGCTCGAGATAAGGTTTTACTCGACACTGCTCGAGTGTAATCCTCTTTGGACATGGCTACTAAACAACAAAGCGCAATAAAGTCTTTTAAAATATGATATCAAGATCCAAGAATATTATAAATAAGAAACGTAGATAAGAAACAACAAACAAACAACTTTTTTTTTCAATATGGACTAACAAACAACTTAATATACAAACAAATGACTTGTCAAAGCACAGCTAAGAAGAAGGTAAAATTAGGTAATGGTGTGCGGAACCATTACCATTAATCGATTAATCGATTTTGCATGCACAATGCTGATAAACATTGTCTTAAAATTAATTTTTAACTATTTTTAATTAACTTGGTTGGTTTTAAAATACGGTGGAATTAATATGACATCATAAATAAACTTTTTGGTTAAAAATATCTAATAATCGTTGTATGAATCGATTATGAGTAATACTATAATCAATTAATCAATGTGTATAATAATCGAATCGGCAAATCATTAAAATTAGGGTTCGAACAATACTTTCGATACCGAGTAGGTACCAAAAGCAATACTCGATACTGAGTGCTCGATTCTACAGCACGGTAAGTACAAGCAAGTACTCACAAAAATTGCCGGTATCGAGTATTGCTTGATACGGCTTATTTACAGTCGCCATTTAGCTTCTTTGCCTAAATTTAACAAATCTTTGGAAATATTTTTTATTACCCTAGCCTCAATACAATATACTTCTAAGTTTCTGCATTCGTATAAATTATATAAAATAAAAAAGAACTCTAGAAATATATTAACGTTTGAATAAAAATAAAAACAATAATAATATTTCAGAAAAATTCGTAAATAACCATTTACTTACAAAGTTTTAATATTTTGGATAATGTTTCATTCCAGCGTTGCTATTGAGGAAGTATTTAAAAAAAAATCGTTACCGAAATCAAACTGGTATCGCTACGGTACGTTCTTCATGACAAACCTTTCATATATGAAAGTAAATTAATTTTCAAAACTCAATAAACAACTCACATTCTATTTGTACTTTTTCGTATTTGTATTGATTCGAGTATCTAAGTTTGGAACTTTGCAACTGTCAGTATTAATTTTAAAATAATTAAATAAAATGAAAAATAAAACATGTTTTATATTATTGTTTATGTCTTTCATAATACGGCAATTTTACCCACCAATCACGGCAGTAAAAGTTTATCTTTTAAAACTGTTTAATTCGTTCGTCAAACGTCTTCTCCTTGCGTCCAAAGAGAATGAGGAAGTATTTAAAAAAAATAAAGAAACTACAAAAATTTATGTCACTAGATAGCAGCACTAATTGTTGGATCTAAATATAGACATAAAAGAAGAGGACCGGCCGTACCTACGAAAAAAGCGTATATGCCTAAACTTGAAATGCAAATTCTTCGATGGCGGACTGTCATAGGGCGCGACCCATGATATCGATATTTGTATCGACATTGAAGCAATCTTTTGCTCGTGTTTTGTTGGACATCTAAAAGTCTCATTGTTCTTGCGACTCCGTTGCGTCAGTATAGTAATTATAACCTATGTTACCAGCGTATGATGGCGCTTCCCACCGGTAAAAGATTATTCGTATTCCAAATTTCATCAAAATCCGTTCAGTAGTTTTTGCATGAGAGTAACCAACATCCATCCTCACAAACTTTCACATTTATACTATATAAATATTATTTTATAATATGATTGTACCTCGATAAATATGTTTCTTTTTCCTCTAATATAGACAATTTTACGTAGTTTTAAGAACTATAATACCAAAATATATATCTTAAAAGTTTAACAATAATATCAATCGTGTTTTATAATTATTTCCATATATATTGTAAAGTTGATATTTTGCAACTATAATTAAATAGTTTTTTTTAACATAAGTTTAATTTTGCATCCACGGTAAGTGTGACCACTGTCCAAGATAACTGCCACGGTAACTATAATAAGCTTTAAATGAGTCGATTGACGAATGAATTATTATGTTTTTTTTTGTCTGTTATATATTTTTTTATTGTTATAGTGGAAAGTGACATTTTGGTGAAATGAAGTCATTTTTTATTTTTCAGTACGAAATTAAACAGGGTGCAAAAGCAGCACTTGCAGTTTCTTACCGGTTCCCCTTCTTCTTTTCTCGGTACAAGGTTTCCCGTAATAGATTTACGAACTATAAGCACAGAGTTTCGACTTTTTTATATGCTTGTAACTAGTAAGCCAACTTGTCTATAAATTTATTCAATAAATTGTATTGACTAAATAAATTTCGCTTACTCCTCATTAAGTGAGATACCGTGCGTACTGTGTCACAATTTTAGTTCAGAGCATCTTGTTTAGTAGTAAACATAGAAAACTTTAAACACCTACATAATCTTTGTATTATATTATTTGTAAAAGAAACTTTGATGAATAACCAGAAGAGAAAATAAAGAAAACAAAGTTGGTAGATGAAAAAGTGATATAATTTATTAAAAAAGTAACAATTGGCATTTTATTTAAAAATTTGGTTAGCAAAAAGAAAACAGCCGATAAATCATTTGGCAAGCATACAAATATTTTCTCAGCACTAAAACTGTCTGCAATTCATGTTCTGTGAACATTCATGATAACGGTCAGCAATTTAAATACAAAAAGGTAGCGTATTTTATGATGCATCAGCAAAATAAACAGCCACGCCGCAAAATAATTATTTGGGTATTAAGATTATACTATTGAACAGCAAAGAAAACCTTTAAATTTTTATTAAATTTTTTAACTCGTTTTATTGTAATTTTACTGGGAGTATATTATGATCAGAATTTTATATTTTAATATTATTATATATTGCATTCTGATTTTTTTTCAATTAGAATAGTTGTCATATGACCGCAAGACTAAAAATAACGTACATTTATAGAATAACAAAATGACAATATAAAAAACTAAATAAATGAATCAGTAAAATCAAATGAAAATTAACTAAGTGTAATAGACAAAAAAATTGTAAAATTAAGTTAAAAGCAATTGTCAAAAATTCTTACCAGCGTATTTGATTGGCAATGCATCATCTCGTAATTTTATTATATTTAAAGTTCGATCCAAACAACTTTCCCTAAAATGAAGTGAGCAGATAAAAGTAACTTTTTCATTATATTTAATATTTTCTGCTCCAATGGAACTCGGCCATATTCCTCTTTTTGTTTCATCTTTTGGTAATCTAAAATAATGAATATATTTTAATAATAAAATTATCGATATAAACCATATGTTAAAGTAACAACACTAGCCATGTAAACAATATTATTTACGGACCGAAATATTATAAAAATATAAACGAAAAGAGCAATATAACATAAATAGAACACGCCAAAATACGATATGTATCGATTTATACACGCAATCATTTTCAGAATAACTTACTTACGTTTTAAATACTGTTTTTCTATAAAAGTGTTTAACTTACCGGTGAAACGTAATATTGCTCGGTTTGCGGGATATCGATGACGCACAACCAATTACACTGCACCTAGGCATTGTTTTGCATAAATAATTTACAAGTTTCTGCCATGAAAGTAATATAAATTAAAGTTATAAATGAAAATAACCACAAAACTTATAACACTGACAGCTGAACTACTTCCGAGAATACGCACTGCAACTTTGCAAATGGCGGGCAGGTGGTACGATAGCTATATGTCATGACGTCACGTAAAAAATTTTGAACTGTCACACTAGTGCGATCTTTGTTTACTAAAGAAACTTCTTATTAGTTAAAAAAAGACAACATGATGTTTTCGATGTCAACTTCAGATTGCATGATATTAATATAACCATAGAAAATATTTCCACTCTACCTTATCTCTATGGATCTATAACGTTAAACCAAAGAGAATAGAATTGTCAGTGCTGTATGGAGCTGATAACTCGGACTTATATCGAGTTGAAATTTAACTAGTTCGAGTTATGCAAACGTAACTCGATTTATACAAACTAGTCTTTGAATAATTTTTTTTTTGTATAGGGGAAAATGGAAACTAACAAAATGGAAGTGGGCACAGAGGTTATTTTTTAATTTATGGAATTGAATTGAATTAATGCTGTGATATATGTAATTAAGTGACATTTAACTACGGTATACAATAATACCGCCAAATAGTTTTTATAAATAAATTATTTATGCCATAGTAGGTCTATTCAATAAAAGCACTGAAAACAATGACAACTAGGTAAGTTAGTTTTATTGCTATTAGTTGTTTGTTGATCTTTCAACAAAAAAACTACATCAAGTCTCAAAATATTTTTATATTATGTTTGGTGAATGAATGAATAGGGTTTATTAATCAGCAAAAAAAGTAATAAAAACGATAATTATAATAAAAAATACGTTTATTATCTATATACTTACCCGATGTGTATCAATTATACTAGGTATTCGTACAAAATATTATGACTT